TGAAGGGTGTCCTTGCCGAGGCCGGCAATGTTGTCCGGGTTGTTGGTGAGGTAGGTCAGGAACGGCCAGGCCTGGTAGTAGTTACCAGAGTCGACGGTGCCGTCGACAATAACCTGGAAGGAGTCGCCAAGTACCTTGTTGACCTCGAACTCGGTGCGGCCCTCGGGGGACTTGTGCTTGGTGCGGGCGTCGGCGCAGAGGGGGGAGGTGTTGTAGGTGTCGGCAACCCAGTTGGCGACCGTCTCCCACCAGGCGCCGGTGCGCTCCTGGTCGACCCAGGTGCGCTGGTGGTAGTGCAAGGCGTGGCCGTACTCGTGAACGGTGACGCCCGGGGTGGCGAGGTAGGTGTCGACGACCTCGAGCCAGCCGGCGCCGGACTCGTACTCCGAGTGCATCACGCCGGCGGCGTTGTCAAGCTTGGAGACGGAGTAGACGTTGGTCTTGTAGTAAGGGCCGTTGTCGGAGCCTTCGTTGAAGGACAGGCCAGAGGACCGCCAGCCAAGGGTGTTGACGAAGCACTCGTAGGCACCCTCGAGCATGGCGAGGGAGTCATCGGCGGAGCTGCCGCCGGCGTAGACGCGGAAGTGGGCCGAGTCCTTGAAGTCGCTGCCGCCGGGGCCGGCCTTGGTCTGGGCCTCGAACTCGGCGGGCTCAGCGCGCGCGACTACCTTGGGGGCGCCTGCCTGAGGGGCCGCATGGATGCCGGTGGTGAGGGCGAGGAAGATTGTGAAGAGAAGTTGGTTTGACCTGGCCATCTTGGGCAACCTGCTGTATGTGTACGTTGAAGAAAAGAGCGAATGAACGAATGAACAAATGAGCGAACGAAGAAAGACAGAGGCTTTCTTGCAAAGAATGAAATCGAGATGGATGAGAACTTGATCGGAGACTACTCTTTCCTCGTTCCAAGAGATCGAGGGGCGCCATCTTTTTGTAAGTAGAAGCGCCAACTTCGCCAAGACTCTCTGGTAAGGATTATTTCCTCTTCTAGCCAAGACGTATGATGCGAAGCAGGCAAACACACACACACAGTGACCTGGTGATCTTCGGATACAGCCCGCCTGGCCATAGTCCAGTGGTCCACAGGGCGGAATCCTGTACTGCGTACAGTCAATTTTCAGTTGATGTTGAGAGGTGGAATGCGCTGGCCCTTGTTAGTTGAGACTGGGCCCGTCCATGGGGGCTCGATGGAGTGTTTCTAAGAAAGTGTTGGCAATTTGTGATGAAACGGCGGGCAGAATACACCAATCAGCACTGATGCGTATTGGCCCCTCGCTGGCCTTATTCGTGTTGTTCCCTGCATCGATCACCTCAAAAAGAGTATCCCAGTCTCTACCCTAGACCCGGGAGGTACAGATTGAGTAGGAATCTCATGATTGATGGATTTCAAGATTATGAAATGAACCGAGTCTATTCTCGGTCGGGAGTCTCGCTGCTGTAGAATATCCGTACAAGAAGTAAGCTTTTAGAAGTCATGTCTCATTGTCCAATGCAACACAGAGAAGAGGAGTCTCGTCTGAACTTCTCCAAGGAGGGGGGTTGCATATGCCAATGACTTCGATGTTGGATCTCCCCGTCAAATCCTCCACCTCGAAATGACGATGATCTCGTTTTCACCGAATGTCAAGGTGTGCCCTCCCAAGGAAGTCTGCAAGTACTGCGTAGACGATGGCTTCATCCCACCCAACCGAAGGACCCGTACTCCGTAACGTGCCACTCGCTAAACGCTGACAGAATATGCGTTAGTCAAAAGATCACACACGGACCCCATTATTCTCTGACACGCTTCCCTGCAGCCCTTCATCATGATTGGCGGCAATATACCCGCAAGTGATTTAAAGTGATTTAAAGTACTCGGAAACTTCCCCTGAGCCTTTATGGTTAGTTTACACAACACTCCCGAGTTCTTGGGTAATGGTATCCGTAACAAAGGCGACTATTTCCCCATTTTCTGCCTAGCCCTTTCGCTATCACATCGCAATACGACCGACCGTTTGTGGCACGGCACCACCCAGCGCCCCTGAGAGCATCTGTGGTTTTGACCTGTTGAATTACTTACATTCCTGTGATTCTCAGTACTACAGTAGCAGCAACTCACGCCAACTCTAATCGAAAGCGGAGAGAGCCTTCTCAGTTAGTAAACAGCTGACCACTGTACGATGCAGAAGCGAGACCGGGGACAAAGAGTTAAGAGCGAAATGGCTACTGGACCCGGAATGGCAACTTATCGCGAACACTGTAGGGAGTGATAGCAACTTGAACTTCATCGAGTCATGTCAGCCAACAGAGCCCCTCAAATGTCGGCTAGATGTGCTACGGGTTGTGGGAGAGGATCTTCACCAAAGGAACTTTGTTAAAGTGCTTTCCTTCTCAATTTCTTTGCAGTCGACTGAGAAAGAGAAGTCGGTGAAGACTGTTGTGCCTTCTAACGAGACCGCAGATTGATTCACGTAAGAAAATAATGGACTCAGTCAGCATGCTTGCTTACTATTGAGGGTTGCTGAGACTCAAAGATTGCCAAGTCGGCAGGAGTGGTGCGACGCAACTTGAATGACCCCAACCCTTGGTCCTTACATTTGTGTCAAGTACTATCTGTAAATGAGTTAAAATTTGGCAAGACTGTAAGTTAGTCTTTCAGTTCTATTTCCCTGTGGAGAGTATGTAAAATTCGGAAGTCCCACAACTAGGTGCCCAACTTGAGGACTGGACGTCATTCTCATCACGGACAACAGTGTCAGGGACTTTTAGACAGTTCGGACGTGCAGTTTGGTTAAACTTTCATCCTGATCAGAATATTCTGCCCAGTGGCTTGGTCTTGACACATTTCTAAGCCTCTAAAATGAAGTTCATATGGAAGAGAACTGGGCCTGATGAGTTCAGAACCTGTCGAATCGAAAGGCCTCAATAAGAGAATAACCACAGAACACCTGGTATCTCTTCGATCTATCGGGTAAGTCTGTTATTGTGTCCTGCTCTTCTTTTTCATACGGACTTGACTCATACTTCTCGCTCTCAAGATGCGCAAGTTAGCGGGGCGGCAGAATTTGATCTTCGTCTCATTTCCAACATATGGTCACTAAATGCGATCTGATCCTTCGGCATCCCGCAATGTCGTACCTCATGTCGCTATTATCTTCGCTTTAGTCTTGCCCAAACACTCTCTCAAGGGCGGGCACTACTTGCTTCTATCCTCCTGATCGACGCTGCATATAGACATCTTGGCACCCAGTTGGATTTGGAGGCTGAGGGAGCTCTTGAGCTTGATTCTAAAAAAAATTCAGAAAACAGAGATACAGAGTATCAATGCACAAGCGAGACTTTTTATTTTTATTTCCGGCTCAACGATCTGATCACCACCTCATCAAGTCTGTGAGATAGAGACAGGAGTTACTTCAGGACTATTTAGTGACCTTTCTATGACTACAGGTCTGCAATCCGCCGCAGTTGTATTAAGGTAGCGACATATCTAATCACTCAAGTATTCGATCTAGGTACTTGGCTTTTCAAGCATGATACAAATTCAATTGGCATTTAGCTAGTCTTGGATGTGAGCAAATTTTCACATCGCTAGCACGACTAAGTGCCGAGTCAGACTTTGGTCTACGTAGCACTGCATGGACGCTCCGACGATATGCGGCGGCGTACAGCTGATCGATATTTCAGACAAGTTCATCATAATCGGAGAAATATCACTCATTATCATCCATGTAAGTAAAGACTCGGGACGAAATGCTTCAAGTTCGCTTCAGAAATACTACTTGATGTCGTTGATGGTGTATTACAACAAGGCTTATGGATTAGTGAGCGTGAAGGCGACATCGCCCGTGCTTGCGCCTCCTTTGCAGGTCGACTTGAAACTACCACTAGGGCATGTTGCCCTCGCAGCTCGAATGCATCCTTCCCAACGGCCTTTGGATACATTGATCGTGGCGCCAGAAGCAGTTGGGTTCAAGGTGAACTTCGCGGTTCCTGATACACCCGTGGTACTCTTTGGTGCGCCGCCGCATTTTTGGATGGACCCTGCTATGCCGCCGCAGATAGCCAGTGTAGCGACGTTCATGTCGTGGGTATCAATCTTGCTACAATATGTCTTTAGCTCGATGGCTCCCTACACATATTCGGTATGGGTGGCAACTTACGCGTTCTTGTCTGTGCACGTAGTGCCAGTGACGGCTGCTGGATTGACATCCTTCGATGCACGGATTTCCAGGGTGTTGTCGTTCGCCTGCGGAAGTATGGGGCTTGGCACCGCAGCAGAAAGACCGGAGAAAAGCAACAGAGCCGAGACGACGTTGGTGATTAACATTTTGGCGTTGACAGAGAGATAGTGTAGAATAAATTTACTAGATAGAGTAAGGATAAAGTTTCATCTACTTGGACCTGCCAAGACAAACGGGAGATAAAGTGAACGAAGCCTTCGAGAACAGCAAACCGGTATGTTGCTGAATCTAGATGCAACGTCAAAAGGCCAAGACTGGTAATTTGTACGAGGGCAGAGTCAATGACTCCGGAAGAGCACTATCGCAGATTTGCGGCTGTGATGTGAGCTAGTTGTTCCAGCAGGGATGAACTTCAGACGACAACGGTTTCGGTCTGTTCGCTTAGAGATCCGATGAACTCTGTTGACACATGGCAATGGTAGTCGAGAGAGAAAAATCATATTACGCTAAATAGTACACAGCGCCGCAGGTCACTACTCTACTCATCATTGCCCTATAAACAGTTCATGCTTAATTGTTTTTCAAGTCCAGGGCATCCTGAGTAGATGGTCTAAAAGCATCGGGTGCGTCGTTTTCTTTGTGTGTCTTGATGTCTCCAGTTTGGTCATGTTGCCGTTTCAACTTTTGCCGATGTTTCGCACCATCCTTGCCATCCCACGTTCGGACCGGACGGCAACTCGGTGTGATCCGAAAGTGGCCGGCTATCCTACACCTGCAATGACCAACAGACAAGATAAGCAACAGACTTTTTGTTTCTTTGGTTTACACGGTTTCAGCAATGATCTAGCCAAATACGCCATCATTCTTCGGCTCGAATTCCACATGTGGGCGATTGACAGCTGATTCGGGAAACTCTGCGGGGTCACTGCTCAGGATGCCCTCCATGATCGGCGCAGACATGCCCAGCTGAGGTTCGCAATATTGTCAGTCTGATTTGCTAAAATGAACAGTGGTGTAAAGACAAGCGTAGACTACTTACCGCGAAATATCTAAGCTTCACGGCATGAATCATAGTAGCGGCCTTCGCGGTTACCTTGAATCGTAAAACACTCCATCCCAGGGGAGGGAGGTCGTGGACTGTGACGAGAGCAGGGTCCTTGAGGTTGAGAGACTTAAACAAGTGATTGCGACCTACGAGAGCCTCCTCCACACTCTTCTGCGAGAACCTCGCATTCGGCTGCGCGCCAAGCAACCAAGCGGGATCGGCATGCTTGTAGAGTGGCACCGTGTCGTTCAGGTTGTTCTCGATGATGAGATCAACGACGGAACCCATTGGAATACCTTCGATGATGGGCTTTCCAAGAGACCCTAGGGAACTAGATTCGTTGGCTGCGTGGAATAGAAGAGGCATCAAAGATGAGCGGAATAACTGCCAAGGCTTCTCGTTGAGGTAGAATTCCGGCACATGAGCCTCCGTGGGCGAAGCTTGAGATCCGGCAGCGAGATGGAAGGTGAAGTCTGCTGTCTCTGGATGCAAACTCTTGGCCGAAGGAGGCGGCGTGGCAGGGTACGGCGGTAGAAACTGGCCATCAACAGCTTTACAACCCTGGTTTGTGGAACCATCGGGCAGAACACAGATATCGTCGGTTGAAGCTGGCTGTGGAACCTTCATCGGCTCGCCATAGATAGGTCTGCGGCTAGCCTACCATGTCCGCCAAGTCAGCTTGTATTTTGATCGTTGAACGATTAGACTTACTGGGTATCTCAAGATTGAATAGGCTTGCAGGTTCTGCATCTGACTCGTGGATGAGATGCGCATGGCATAGTCTCCAGGATCCGCCTTCAGGCTCACCAAAACGGTGAGCCTTCCAGCGCTGGGCACGTAGACAGCCTATTAGGCGTTGTAAGTCCTGTGTCAAAGGAGGACAATCGTTAAGCGGGATGACTTACATCGGCTTCTTCGGGAGTTACGAAGCCACCATTGTTCGCAACTACAGTTAGCTTGTGATTGTCAATGGAGACCATGACGGAGTGCTCAAAGCCAATGTTGATCAGGTTCAACATTATGTATTCTCTGCCTTCCGTTTCAATTATCTTCCGTTATGGTCAGCATCTTTCATAGTCGCCGCGCCATGACAGCCAGACATCACGAACCTCATAGTCCGCCTCACTTGGCGTGCATGATTCCTCAGGGAGACCAGGTGGTTGGATGCAACCTGTCTCGTCCAAGCGAAGTCCGTTCAATTGTTCGTATCCCGGTTGGCGACAGTGTACACGGCCCTTGCCTACAAGGCGCGGCCCAAGTTAGCGGTGTAAAGCTCTGGTGTGAGTTGACTTGCTCACCATTGACGAGAATCGAATCATAGCAATAAAACTCCGACCCTTCAGCCCGCATGCGAAGCATTTTCCAGCCAGTGTCTCGGTGCTGGTGGTTCTTGATAGCGAGATGCCGGACTTGCTTCTCGGCTTCCATAATCTTCCGCAGCTCGATGTCATTTTCGGTGATTAGACGGTAGGGCCGAAGCCGCGATGGGCTTGGCGCTACGTAGACCATGCCATACAAGCCCTTATGCTCGAAGTCAGAATGGTGTAGCTTGGTGACTTTGAAGAGAGATGGTACTGAAAAGAGAAGCAGAGAAATGAAAAGAAAACGTCTGGATGGAGAAGGGTGTACGTTGAGCAGGCGAAAGATTGAGTGTATGACATATGAGAAGGGGGGAAGCCTACATCAGCAGACGCAGCAGTTGTGTGCTCAGCGTACCAGTTGAGGCCCCAGGAGCCAGTCGTGTCAATTACGCTTGTGAAGTTGCCGCGAGGAAGGATAGGGTACTATTATGTCAATGTAAGCTTTGCACATGTGAGCCGCGCGATATTGTCGAACCTGCGATATCCCAGCGGTACCATCGTTCCAGCTTCCGGTTCTGTGATAGACGGAGTCAGCGATGTATCCCGTCTACACTGCAATGTTGGAACTGCCACTTACGCCTTGTGCCCGATGCCAGACCTTTTTAGATGGGTCAATATCAAACCAGAAAGTGACGTAGAGTTTAGGGAGGTACTGACCAGTGAATGGAAGACTGAGCATAGACGTCGCTTTTGACTGTCAATGCGACGAGATCACCTTCCTCAGCGTACAGCGTGGGGCAAGGTGTTTGTCCGTTGCAAACGAACATGACTCTCCAACGACCACCATCTAATTCCATGTCAGTCACTTCCATAAGGCTGATGGTAAGCCTGGCTCAGACCTGGGTTCATCCATCTCACTCCTGACTGAAGCGTGTACTCTCTCATGAGTCTGTCTTGTCCACTGGGGTTGTGGCGGCCCCAGCTACCGAGCAGCCCCGTGAGCGGGTACCCGTTCCTCCACAGCCCGGTAAGAGCAAGGAGCAACAGCGTGGACAAGCCAGATAACCAAACATTTCGAGTGTAGCGGTTCCTCGGCTTCCCTTGGAAAACACCGAGCTGTGCTGGCTCAAGTAACTGCTGTTTTGATTCCATTTTCGCATTGGGCTTGGAGGTTTCTGACCCGGGGGGTTCGGGGGAAGGTAAAGGGAATTTGGTCTGGGCAACTCGACAATAACAACCAGGTGGGCCATGGCGACCGCCGACTCAGGACACGACATTTCCTGGGGTTCTTCCCGCCCTGAGTCAGATTCATAATTCGGTAGTCAGATTTCTGACTACTAATCGCCCCTTCGAAGACGCTAGGTCTCACCGTTGTCCTTCGGACCGTGACTTTGCAACGTTGTAGCTTTTCCGAAGGTGTTGTGGCAAAGGAGCACGACCCTGTTTCGTAGAGCATTGCGTTGATCATGATTCGACACTTTGAGGTCTGCCAGGGGTTTGCAATCGATATGTATGGAGCCTCACGATAATTGGGGACATTGGACCGAGCGTAGAGGCCTCGAAGAACGGGGCAGATATGCTGCTTGAACTCTAAAGTGACACTCCGCCTACACTCCGTAAACTCCAACCATTCGGAAGCATGTTGAACAGGTTTTCCTTTGAGTTAGGTTGCGGGAAAGCGGGTTGGCACCCCTGACTCGGTAAACTCTAACTGTTGCATCGGATGGTTGTAGGGATACCTGGACGACAGAAGTCCGACCCGGGAAGAACGCCGTAAAAGAGGACAAGTTGGGAACCGTAAAGAGAAGTGTTGGGCAGTCCTTCGAGCGATTTCCTTTGCTTCTCTCGGGGCCAGGAAGACAGTCATGGCAGCTCTTACGAAGTGTGCAATCTTGTCTTTGCTCGCCGGCGTTAGCCTGGCAGCTCAGACGAGGCGGTATAATTTGACGATCACAAACAAATGGGATGTTGGGGATGGACATGGCCGACCTGTCTTTGCTATCAACAATGAGACACCAGGGCCCCTCATTGAAGCGGAAGAAGGCGACGAAGTTGAGGTGTTCTTGGACAACCAGCTCGCCTTTGAAACGACCATGCATTGGTATGTATTCCCCAGCCAATCCACAATTGTGGCCTCTCATCCTACCTAGACTTACACACAAACAGGCATGGCATCTACCAAATCGACCGACCCTGGAATGATGGAGTCCCTGGTGTGACACAATACTCCATCCAACCTCGAGATACCTACACGTACAGCTTCACAGTTCAACAACAGTATGGAAGTTATTTCTATCATGGTCACTTCGGACCTGCATTTGCCGATGGCATGCGAGGGCCGATATGGATTGCACCTGCTGCATGGAGGCCAAGACCTTACGAGTTGATATCGTCCTCGCCAAAGGACATTGAGGGCATGAAGCGAGCGGAGAAGCATCCCAAACATGTTGTCATCAGTGACTGGAACGCCGAGCCGATGGACATCTTGCTGATTATGTACCGGGATACTGGTATTGTTCCATGGTGCAGCAACTCGATCGTTATCAACGGCAAGGGAAGGACAGTGTGCCATCCAAAGGACCTGATTGATTCCGTGGGAGGCCCAGGAAGAAACTCTCTTGGTTGTCTACCTCAAATTGGTCAAAAGGAATTCGCAAATGAACAGACTTGCCGGCCGACGTTTGCTGATCTGGAGATCTTTGAAGCTGAGAGCGGCGAAGAATGGATCTGGATCAATTTCATTCATTCTGGAGCGCACCACGAGCTACAAATCAGCGTGGATGAGCATGAGTTCTACGTCATCGCTGCCGATGGAGAGTTTGTGCATCCCCAGAAGGTTCATGTTGCCAATTGCAATCTTGGAGAGCGCATCAGGTGAGGAAATATTCAGGGGAACATCGCCTTTGCCTACGATGAACCGCTAACAAGACATACGTAGCATTCTCGTTCGCCTCAATCAGAAGCCTGGGGATTACGCCATTAGATTGACATCGCTCCGCCCAGAACAAGTCATTCAGGGCTTTGGGATCCTCCGCTATCCTGATCAAGGCAACGAATTGAAACAAGAGATTCCTAATACAAAGCCTTGGGTTCATCTCAACGGAACCCTGATCTCGTCATCCTCTGTGGCCATGAACGAGACTAAGCTTGCACCCTATCCAGCGCGAGCTCCTCCAACCAAGGCAGACAACACCGTCAAGTTCTTCGTCAATATGACGGGCCCCAGCAGTTGGGCGTTGAACATCGGTCCTCACCAGGCGTTCCGTCAACAGCTTCCACCGTTGCTGTGGGACGAGGAGTCACGTGGCGAGACAACCTACGGAGACAACACACAAGGTGGTGCGCTTCAGAATGGCACCGTCGTGGACATCATCTTCGAGAATGGTGCCAATGTCACTTCTCAACACCCATTCCACAAGCACAACAACAAGGCTTTCGTCATCGGCACTGGAACTGGTGGCTTCCCGTGGCCAACGGTCGAGGATGCAATTCGCGAGGGCGGCATGGCGAAGCACTTCAATCTCATCAATCCACCCAATCGAGACGGTTGCAGACTCGGAAATAGCACTGGAGATTGGACAGTCATTCGATACGAGATCGCTTTCCCTGCCGCTAGCATGCTTCATTGCCATATGATTCATCATTTTGCAGTAAGTCAACGACGTTCAATCAAGCCCTCTTGCAGATTGCGAACAACCGATGTAACTAACCTTATTTTAGGCTGGGCAGCAGGTCGTGCTCCTTGAGGGAGTCGAATCCATGGCCAAAATCCCCGCAGAGATGAAAGACAGAGTACATTCAGACTTCACACCACCACTTCGGTACGGCCCATTGGACTGATTACACTTTTGCTGCCCAAATGACCTCGTGTCAACCATGCAGATGTCACCTTCTTGCTGCGCTCAGACGGTGTGTTTGGGCGAACATTTCATCGCGCTTGACAGGGACGACGAGCGGGCTGGGTTTTGCTTGGTTGATTGCCGCGGGATCCGAAGGGAATGGCCTGAAGCGCGATTTAGAGTTTGTGTTGAGACAGGCCATGGAACATCACAATGAGAACGGAATCCGTTTTCCATTCCCTCACCGTTGCACCTTGCTCAGGCTGATCAGCTCAGGAGGCAGGTAATTGCAAGAGTGAGTCCTTTGAGGATGGAATTTGTTAGAACGCTGGGTCCACTTGTTGCAGTTGTGTCTCTTATTACCAATTAGTATGATCAGTATATATGTCTCAAATAACATAAATGCTCCAACGGTATTACTTGCAGTACTGAGGATCATGTGGGGAGCCCGCGGTCCGCGGTTCGAATCACTGTTTTCCAGTGCCTGGTCTTTCAGGGGAATCGTTGATCAGGGATGACTGGCGCATAAACTTCGGACTGTTATGTTAAACAATCAAGCTTTTTCAATTTCTGACATATTCACCATGCGTTTTCCTATCCTGTACATGAACCTTTGACCAAATGCGACGCACGCTTTAGCCCTTTTCTGTGCCTTTTGGTAGACACGCAAGACGTCTTCTCGTTCTCCAGCGCTCATGAAAGTTGTCTTCGTGGCAATAGATGGGTTTTGTGCCACCTCCGTTGGAGCATCTCTGCTTATGTCTTCTGCCTTTAGATCTTTATTCAATGTCAGGGAATCTGCTCGTCGAAGGGACCCCCTCCTTTTGCTGAAAGTGTCCTTGGTCGAGCTTCGCCTGCTGCCAGCCCATGATCCCTGAA